AGTGTATTAATTTATTTTCATTAATGTTATTTTTTCTAAAATATATATATACTAATTTAGAGTCCGAATATTTAAAAGTTCAAGACATAAAAAGGAAAATGAAAAATTACAGTCGAAACTAAACACCCAAGAAACAGCCAAGAAAACCCTAACAACAATATTTAAGAAGAGACAATAAATCCACCAAAACCCAAGCTTAAGACAAGTGAAGCTGTTGACACCAGTACAACCGATGGAGTAAATGTTGGTGGTGAAGCAAATGAATGATGTGGCGGCGGTGCAACGGGTGGATGGGATGGGGCGTCAACATCGGTGGTTGGAGCCGGTGCTGGGGCTTTGACAGGTGGTTTAGCCGCCCAAGATGGTGAAGGAGCGTGGCTGGTGGAGGGTGGAGGAGCATGTGGTGGCGTTCTCACAGCCAAGACAACAATGACAAGCTTTTGGCCTCTATAACAGTTGGTTTTGTTCCCCGTGATGAAATAGAAAGGCCCTGATCGATCAAATTTGAAGATCGAAACGCCACCTTCCATTTTCATCTCTGGATTATTGGTGTTGCAGTTGTCAAAATCTTCTTTATTCACTTCCAGCACAGAATCCGTTCCTTTCTCGTACTTGAACACTAAAAATAAATAAAAAAAAAATCCTCATCAATCACATCAAAACAAAAACAAAAGATCGAACAACTGATAAAAAAAACATACAGAGGGTATCGTTAACTCGAAATCTCAATCTTTGAGCCCAGTGAGTGTAACTCTCAGAAGGGTTTACTACCCAACCATCTTTGCCTCCTACATTCAATTGATAACCATTTGTAAAACCTGCCAACAGTGTTATTAGAACTAGGGAAGTATATATCTGTGCAGCCATTGAGGTTCTTTTGAAGAAACGAAAGAGAGAGAGAGGGAGAGAGAGCGAGCTGATTGACGCAAAGGGTTCAGGATGAAGATGGATTTATATAGGAATGAGTGTAAATGCTACCGTTGTAGAAAGAAGCAATTTTTTAGCAAAAGTTTAATTCTTAATATGCAATAAATTCAGGGTTATCTGTGTTTATTTTTGCTACAAATGATAGCACAAAACGTGGACAAGTTATAGAGATTCAACGGTAAGGAAAGTGCTGGAAAACCCTGGTTGTAACGCATTGGTTAATTTGAATCGAGTATGTGCAGACGGGTTTATAGATCGGTTTGGTCGACTTAAATGAACCGGTCAAAACTCGAGCAATCGGGCAAGATTTTGATAACAGCCCTGCTGCTCAATCAGGGATAGGGAAAGATTTAAAAACAGGGGCTGAAGACTTCAGCCACTATTTTTAATTCCTATCTCCAACCTTATATGAATATCATAAATCTTTTGATAAAAGGTCTTTGACCAGAGATTAGGATATTAAATTGATATTTAGCCCCGGTTTGATCCCCATTATCTGAAAATGAAAATGGGGGAATAGTATTTTTAGAAAAATGAGTGGCTGAAAAAGAAGGAAAAATTTTCGATTTACGTGTAATATTATTTTATAGAAGATTATGTGGTTGACAACAGGAGAGAGAAAAATGGAATGTAATATAATTGAATTTAATAGGGATCAAACGGGGGCTTAATGTTTTTTCAAAATTAACATCGGCCAATAAATGCAGTAGAAACTCTTGGAATTTCATTATTGTTGTCATCTCTCCAATGTCGATTGTTGATATTTTGCTTGTTTCTCTTTTTTATAGATCATACCATGGGCTTTTCGCGGTGAAGTACCTACCATATATATTTGTTGAATTTTGCTACTTTGTCCGAATTTTTTTGCTAGAATGGTTGAAATTATCTCACATGTACGTGGATCTCACGTGAATAAAAAAAGTCCAAAAAAGTGGGTTTCACCATTATAAGAGTCGGTCATCCCATCTATCCACCATTTTTTTATCACAATAGGGGGATTGATATTTGTTATCCTTGGTGTGAAAATTTTAGTAATAACTGTACTAGTGTCAATATTGAAACATCAATCATGTTGAAATATGGCGAAAGTCACAAACGCTCCAACCAAATATATGCAACCTATCAGATTAATTAAAACATGCGAGAAAATTGTTTGAGAAAATTTTAATAATAACTGCATTAACAACGTTTGTCGGTTGAGAATTTGAGATTGAACATATTGTGGTTTCTCCCACACTAATTTTTTTGTTTATTTTTTATTTCATGACATATAACTAAAGTTTATGAAATCATATTCTTATATAGTTCATACAAAAATAAGCAGTCGTGGAACATTATACGACTCAAATCTTCATAAAACGAAGATAACGGTATTAGTATCGTTATAACGTGTTTGGACATGTCCCATCCACACAACAACATATATAATCAAGCTTAAGCAATAGATATGCAACTCAAATTACTCATATAACATAACAGTACTTGTGTCATGAGAACTTTAATCATATCGTTATAGATTAAAATATTTGTAAAACCACCATATCCCAGCCACTCAATATACAACACATCGAATAAATCAAGATATATAGGAAAATAGTGTGAACATACTCTGATGGTGAGAGAGAAGAACATTATTAAGTTCATTAATTGAGATTGAAGAACTTGTTATTTTCTCCAATGCCATTTCAATTTTTTCATTATATCTACAATATATGAAGAATGTGGATAGGTGAGAAACATTCAATTTCCCATTTTGTGCTAGCTCATCCAATCTTTATAATTTATATTAATAACATTAATTCATGCACTAAGTTTTCTTTTATTTTTGTTTAACATCCGTTAGTTATTACTCTAAAAACAGTCAATTCAAATTCCTTTCCTATTAAAAACACATTAATTCACAAAAAGAAAATGGAACGACAAAAAAATGAAAGTTTAAATCAATCCGTTCACTTAGGCAATAAAATTTAATCACTTAAATTTCTTATAATTATTTTAGTTACATATAAAATAAAACATGATTACAAATATATAAAATATTCCTGCATTAAGTTTCTTTTTCCCTAACAATCACCAAGTTATTATTCTTACAATAGTCAGTTACATCCATTTCCTATAAAAAAAAAAAAAAAAAAAAAAATTATTTCGCATAAAGAAAAAAAAATAAAAAATAGAAAGGTTGATTAATATGTTCACCTTGGCTAAAATTTATTTTTACATTCACGTCATTAGTACATAATAAAGAAAACATTATATCATATATTTTACTAAACTCGTTAAATATTGACGTTGAGTATTTTATTCATGATTTTATTTTGTGATTGATCGTAGTTTTTATCTTTTTGGGCAGATTCATTGATTGTAAGCAAGATTGAAAAGTAAAAAAGGTGGATAGATTAGAAATATTTCGTTATCCATTTTGTACCTATTATTATTATTATTATTATTATTTTTTTTTTTTTGTCAATGATATCCAATATGAGAGATGATTTATGATTAAGTGTTGATCCATATAAGGGGCATTGGAAGAAGGAAGAGAATTACAGACTAAATGTGGATTTAATACATTTTTGTTCATATTTTTGTTGATCATTTTTATTTTTTTCCGTAATTTTTATTATTTAATTGATTTCTTCCTCTTTTGGCGTATTGTATTGTTTATGGGTGAGAATTTATGATTACGTGTGTTGTATATGTAGAACGAGCAAAGGAAGAAGAGAATTCGAGACTAAATATTATATAAATATGAGTAACAATTTATTTGTGCATTTGCTTTAGAATGAAGATTTCTAGTATGAACATTTTGAAATTATTGTGCTAAGTTATTTTTTGACAATTTGCAAATGTAGGATCCGTTTGGTAATTTTTTTTTCATAATTCTTTTTTTTTTTCACCTTTCAGTTTTTAGTTTTAAACTTGTTTTCAAATTTTTGTTTTGTCAAAAACTCGTTTGGTCTATTATTTTTAAAATTGTTTTTCGAAATAGAAAACTGATAATACGTTTGGTTTGAAAATTTTAGAAATTATTTTATGATATTTCATTAAATAAATTTGATTATTCAGCTAATTTATTATGAAGAAATATATACATTTAAAATGTTTGATTTGCCATTGAAATGAGAAATTAGACTACTTTTATTTTTCATATTCACTGAAAAAATTAAAAATGCAAAAAATATATTTTCAATCTTATATTTTAAATTTAATCTTGTATTCGAAATGCATTTTAAAAATATGAAACCAAACAAATTTTGATTATTTTACAAAACTAAAAATAGTTTGAAAACAGCAAATCAAATACTCATTCCTCATAAACACTTAAAACCTATGTAAAGGGATCCCTTATTCGATGAATCCTACACCAAGTCAATCGCAAATATATATTGATTTCTAAATCTCCTTCCTCCAAAATTTCTATTCGAAACTATTTTCTTGAAGAGTACTGTACATTGATTTGAGTACTCATCTTGTTACCTTATCGATTGTAAAATCTCATTTTTTATTACTAGAGCCTGTTTGGGAGTGATTTTGAGAATTGATTTTTTGACCGTTAGGAGAAAAGTGGGACCCACCCGTGATAGAAGAAGTCAAATATGACGGCTGGAATAGTAAAATAACGGTAAAAAAATCAATTTTTTTGGTGAAAAAATCGGGCCCAAACAGGCCCTAGATACTCATTAAGCAGTGTTGAAATTGATTCTTAAGTTTGTAATGTAGTAAAGACCTATCAAGTTCATTCATATTGAGCCAATACTGAATATACTGTAAATATACTAATTACTATCTGAAGACAATATACTAGAAAATTAAATATGAATTATTTTATAAAAAGAAAACTCAAGTTTTTTACAATTTTTTAAAGATATAATTGAGAAAGGTAACAAATATATCTCAACAAAATACTCAAATGATATATAGCATAAATTATGTGGGGAAAAAAGGACACTTAAATCCCACACCAGGTAATAAAGATCTTGATCAGAACACAAATAATAATAAAATATAGTTTATGTTTTCAACAATTAAATAGAGTAACAACATATCATTACACAATCATAACATAAAACAGGAAATAAAATGAAATTCAAGTATCCAATGTTATAATGAAAACTGAAATGGAAATATATTTACCCACAAGATTTGGCACCAGCCAACTCTTGTTCTTTATTCCTACGGTTATTCATTCCTATAAATCACATTCGAACAATCTATATATGAAACCCTTATAAGTTAAGCACACTCCAAATAATTCCATGCATGCACGCATTCACATAAATTGTTCCTGTTCTTTTAATAAGCTCTAGCACATCTGGTGGCCTTGGTGCAGCCACGGCGGTAGGGATTTGCTTTTTGGCGATTCCTGCAGTTGTAGTACGAGTTTCCACGGCGATTACATGGGATATTGTTCTTCCTCAGGGCAGCGTAGCTAATGTACCTCGAATAATATAACTGACGGCGAGAAGTTTCAGACTCCATCATCAGTTCGTCCACATCGAGGTCCATTGACTCATGACTATGTTGAGGGATGAAGGCACCGTAAAGCAAGTCATTGGTGCTGGAGGATTGAGCCATCATAGCCATGGCAGAGGCTACGGCCAATAGGAACAGAAAAACAAGCCCCGCACGGGAAGCCATCGATATCACACCAAATGATTGAAAGAAAGATTGAGAAATTTTTATTATTACTTTTTTTCCGTCTTAAATTTTCCTCATTGGCCCTGCTTACCAATAGGGGAGGAGAAAAAAGGAAGCTATCTGGTTGAGGGAGGGACAAGTGGAGGCTTATGTTATGGAGGTTTTGAATGATGAAATATGGTGGTGAATTTGTGTGAATTAACATAATTCACGTTAGTCTTAGGGCCTTTTCTTTCTCCTTGTTTTTCTATTGGATTTGCATCAAATATGTATGACGTTATTGACACTTGATTTCCCCATAGCTATGCATTCGATAAAGGATTTTTCTAAAGGTACAGATTTTATTTAACAGACTCCTGTATTAATTCTGTTAAAAAATCTATACTTGTAGCAAAGTTCTATAAATAACTATGTATCCTTGATTTTCTTTCTCCTTGCTTTTCTATGGGCCTTGTTTCAAATGTGTATAATATAGAAACTTATATCTTCTTGAAATGACATTCACAATAGAATCTCACACTTGTTTCAATTGATTCCTAAAACTAAAATAGTAACTCTATTTTATTTTTATTTTTATTTTTCTTTTTTTGTGGGTGTGAAACTTTTTGTATATGGAACGATATTTGGTTAAGACACTTCCATGTCTTTCCCATCCAACCATAATATTTCATTTTTGTTAGTATGTGTCCATAATATTTCATGTTCCTTGGGTGATATTTCAAGAATTTCAATTTTGATTAATTTAGTTTAAAAAATTCAGAATCAATTGCTTCTTCTTTTTTTTTTTTCCCTTCTTTTCACTAATTTAGTTATTTTTACTTTTTAAGTGTAATTGCGCATCTACTTAAAAATCTATAATATATATTAAAATATCACATCAAGTGAGAGTCACTTTTTGACGATTTAAACCACTCTACAATTCAATTATTTCAATAATACCTTTCTTTTCATTTTTCGATATGTGATAGATACTACATAATTATTGTCATTTATGAAATTTTTGTTATTAATCTATAATTATATTAAAATATCACATCGAAGGAAAATCATTTTTGACGATTTTAATACATCTACAATTCAATTATTTCAATAATACCTTACTTTTCGCTTTTCGATATGTAATAAATACTACATAATTATTGTCATTTATGAATTTTTTGTTATTAATTCTCAATTAATTAACATTCACATTAACCTAGGTTCAATGAATTTTCACTTGATGAATCTAGAGTTAGTATAGATGAATTTATTCATATTCATGTATCTAAAAAATTTAATGGGTGTTTAAATTTATGTTTTAACAATTATTTTTTATGTACCAAATGTAATATAAAAAGATTGATCATTTATAATATTTCATCATTACAAACAATCGAATCATAAAAATTTAATTTTGAGTGTACAATTTTCTCTTTTTTTATATTTCTATGCTAAATTTTATTTTCTTTAAGTCGTCTGAGACTGATCAAATCTTCCAACAAATTGATATTAAATATTACTTTTACATCACTTATAAATTAATTTAGAATAACGTGTAATGCACGTTCATCTTTGACTAGAATAACTTTCAATGCACGTTCAGAGACGAGAATGGTGTTTATTTTTTATTTTATTTATTTTATATCTTTATTTGGTGAATATTATTATCTTTTCTTTCTTTTTTTTCCAATTTGTTAAGAACAACTTATTTTCTCCTTAAAAATGATAATAAATCTTTTCTTTTCATTTGATTAAAAACTTAAATTTGAAATTAACTTTAAACGGAATGGATAGAGGATGGGGACCATATTTTCCGTACGCATCTCATACCAGCTTCGGGGCAACAATCCCAATCTCACATGTCTTATTTACCCGATTAGACAAATAATCGGGAATCGAGTTAAACAGATTTTTTTGCCATCCATACTAATGCCATTTGATTTGGGCCTTGGATTACTCATTTGTGCTCGGTAGTGGGGGTCAGATGGGTTTGTCGTGGTGGTCAGATGGGTTTGTCGTGGTGGTCAAACGTAATATGGGCCAGGTGATTTTGGTTTGGTCTTGGATTCCATACATTATCTCACTGTGAGGTAACGTAAAGAAGTATAAATACTTATCAGTGTGATAGAAATTAAAATCAAGACTTTTGTTCAAGTCAAAGTTAATAATTAATTTTATCTATACATTTCATATGATTCATAATTTTTTAACAATACATTTCATTAATTTCTATCAAAATATACTAAAGATATAATTTAAATCCACATCAAACTGTGACTTGGGTGCGGAATGTAACATGATCAAATAACACTGAAACAATCAAAAATTAGTTCATAATACTCAATAAGTTGAATAATGCATAAGAATTTGCAAGATTACAGATAATAAAATTACATTTCAAGCATAGAAAAAGGAGAACAAATAATAGTCGTTTTTACTTATTTATACACACATCTAATAGTCGTTTTCAATTTTTGAGAACAAATATTCTTTTCATACCATGTAATACGATATAATTAGTATTTATGAAATAACAATAATATTTAAAAGGGTAAATTACCTAGAAACTTACGTCTAAAGATTAATTTCAAAAGATGGTGGATTATTTTTTATTTTACGAATTATGTGACAGTTATGTTTTAATAATTATAATTAATAAAATTTAATTAAACCTAATCTACATATTCACCTCACCAATCCCCACCCCACCCACACACACACACATTATTCATTTCAAATCCCTAAATAAAATTCTCTCTCACCACTCTCTCTCTCTCTCTCTCTCTCTCTCTCTCTCTCTCTCTCTCTCTCTCTCCCCCCTCACCCACCCACTATCTCATCCAACCCACCTTCGTTTCCAACACTATTGTGCACGGCAAAGCGGAATCGCTGCTGTCACGCGCAGCAGCCAAGCTTTGCAGTGCTTGCCACTACTAGCATAAGCAATGCGTCATCATCGCATGCAATGTGGAAGCCGATCGATGAGGGTCATGTCCGGTGAGGTGACGACTTTGGTTGTCATGATTTCAATGTCACTTCCATCATCTCCATTGTCTTTGTCATTCAAATCAAATTACATGTCAACAATTATCCTTGATCTTTGCGCTAGAGATCTTGTCCACAAAAATGGCCATTGTCGATGGCGATGGTGGACGAAACTAATTTTAAGAGCCATTTTTCAATTGATGCAGTGATTGCGACTTCTGAGAGAGTCTCTGACAATGAGAAAGTGGATGCAATAGATCTATGGGTATTTTGTTGGGGATTTTTTTATGTCTGGTGGTTAGGCGACGATGGTTTTATTGCTAGGGGTGCACGTGGTCGTGGTGAGGTGATTGTTGGAAGTGGTGCTATGTTAGAATGGTGGCAGCTATGGAAATTAGGTGTAATCAAGTCTATCTTTCATTGTGACTATCCGTGATCAAATCTGACATAGCTACATACAGTTAGAAACCAGACTGAGTTGATCACAGACAATCATACTGAATACAAATTTGGTCATATATAACACAATTCAATGAAGGTAGTATTTATGATCTTAAATTTGAGTTGAAAGTGGTAGTGGTGATGCATTAGAGGTAATGGTGGTGGTGACTGGTGGTCGATTGAAATGTTGGTTTACAGTGTGTGCAGATTTATTTGTGGTGATCATATATGATCAAGTATGTATTTATTGTGATTGCTTGTAACCAAATCTATGTCAACTGTAACCGGTTGTGACTAAGTCACATACTGTCATAGTTAAGACTAATCTGGTCACAAATAGTCACTTTGAAGATAAATTTAGTCACAGTTAGTAACAGAAACACAGGTCAATGACTTGATTACATATAGTCACAAATTAGACGATCACAAAAAGTCACATTGAAGATAAATTTTGTCACCGTTAGTCATAAATAACACGTGCATGGTCATAAACACTAAATTTGGTCACAGAAAATACAGTTAGTTCGTGGGTGGGATATAATTTACAAGAAAAAATTAAATTTTTGAAAAATTTCTACAAGGTGTGGTAGGGTCGGGTGTAATTTCCAGAAAAAGATTTTAAATTTCTGAAAAAAAAAAAATTAGGGGTTAGGATGGGCGTAGGGCCGTAGGGGTTGATGGGCATAGGTTAGAGTGGGGTAGGGTCCGTGGGGGGCGATTCCGAGGGTGGGTTGTACTATCCAAAAAATGATTTTCAAAATCAGAAACTTTTTTACAGGTGGAGTGGGGTTTGTGGGGTGGGAGATATTATTGGTTAGAATATTATTAATTTGGTAAGGTGGGTTACTATTCTTTTGATTGAGATAATTAATTCCAATTAAATATATATAAATATTATTAATTAGAATTAACACCTAAAATTTGACAAAATTTTACAAGTTTATTAGTTCTAAAATGTAATTCTTATATGTAAGAACTATGTATTGTTCCATATTTAAAATCGAGTAATGTTATTTGTAATCGCTCATTGTCGTAGTCGTCCTACATGATATACATGTGACGGTTACTGATTTGATACATTAATGTAATAATTTTGTATTGCCCTATGTATCAAATTACTAATCGCAACATATATGTCACATAGGACGACTACGGTAATTAACGACTGTAAATAACATTATTCTTTAAAATCGTAACCAAATTAATGTAAGGCGGTGGCAAAGGAACAAGATTAATAAGAAACATAACGTTTCTCCGAGTTTACATTTTTAAAAAGTAAGTTAAAATTAAATTTTAAAAAAAAAGTAAATTAGCAAAGTAACTTTACAAATTTAAATACTGCCAAACATGTTCAATACAATAGGAAGATCATGATTAAGAATTAGACTTAGAATTAGGAGTGGGCGTGGTCGAATCTAAACAAAATGGAAGCAAATTGAGTATCGTTCGATATTTTAAAAATTGAATCATTGGTTCTATCTCTAACTATGGAACCAAATGGAACCGAACCATTTTACTTTAGTCCAATACAATTACTTGTGTAAAGTTCTCAAATTTTATACAAGTATTTAAGCTATAATTATTTAATTTCTAACTTTTCCATAAACTATTCCTTAATTAAAATGATTTATATTGATGTTAATGATTTTTATATTTTTATTTTAACTGAACACAACAATTTACATC